AAACGTGTCCAAATCATCTCAGATTTCTTTTTTTGTTGTTCTTGTTGTTTTGACTGGCAGAGTGGACAGTGAGAGAGACAGAGAGAAAGGTCTTCCTTTGCCATTGGTTCACCCTCCAATGGCCGCCACAGCCGGTGCACTGCAGCCGGGCAACCGTGCTGATCCAAAGCCAGGAACAAGGTGCTTCTCCTGGTCTCCCATGCAGGTGCAGAGCCCAAGCACTTGGGCCATCCTCCACTGCCTTCCCGGGCCACAGCAGAGAGCTGGAATGGAAGAGGGGCAACCAGGACAGAATCCGACGCCCCGACCGGGACTAGAACCCGGGGTGCCGGCGCCGCAGGCGGAGGATTAGCCTATTGAGCTGCGGCGCCAGCCTATCATCTGAGATTTCTTTTTACATGTTTGTGTCAAATAAGATAGGGTATGATTGGTTCATAAAATATTTTAAGTCTCTTAATCTATGTGTTCCCTATTTTAGTTTTCCCTTCCTATCTTTTACCTTACAGTTTACTAGCTAGAGTAACTTAGTAGAGTTTCTCAGTCTAGATTTTGCTGTTTGCTTTGCTGTGGTGTAGCTTAACATGTTCCTGTCACCTTCCTATTTACTGTGAATTGGTAGTTGGATCTAAAAGACTTGATAGGTTTTCTTCAGAGTATGTGTGCATGAAGATATAAACTGTTGATGTGCAGTCCCTCTTTGTGAGGAAAGGAATTCCACAAAATGGTGATCTTCTAATGTTCCTTCATTTATTAACCATAGTAGTTCTGTAGAGAGAGAACTCCTTGGGGCCAGCGCCGTGGCACACTGTGTTAGTCCTCCACCTGCAGCGCCAGCATCCCATGTGGGCGCTGGTTCTAGTCCCAGTTGTTCCTCTTCCAGTCCAGCTCTCTGCTGTGGCCTGGGATAGCAGTGGAGGATGGCCCAAGTGCTTGGAACCCTGCACCTGCATGGGAGACCGGGAAGAAGCACCTGGCTCCTGGCTTCGGATCAGCGCAGCTGTGGCTGTTGTGGCCATTAGGAGAATGAGCCAACAGAGGGAAGACCTTTCTGTCTTTCCCTCTCACTGTCTGTAACTCTACCTCTCAAATAAATTAATAAAATCCTTTAAAAAAAAAAAAAAGAGAGAGAACTCCTTCATATTGTTGAATGACTCAGTACCATTTATATTTCCTTCTTTTTAAAGCCAGTTTTCAAAATAATTATTTGGTTCAATAGTATCTTTTAAAGGTAATGAGTTAGGATTGTTATTTTTATTTCTAGTGCATATGACCTCATGAATTTAGATATGTTTCTTTTTCTAATTTATGTATTAGTGAAAAAAAGCTTTCATCCACTGGTTCTATCCCCTCAAATGCCTACAGCTGCAGAGGCTGGGCCAGGTCAAAGCCAGGAGCCAGGAACTCATTCTGGGTCTCCCATGTGGGTGGTAGGGACAGTTACTTGAGCCATCACCTGCTGCCTTCCAGGATCCACATTGACAGAAAGCTGAAATCCAGGGCGGAGCTGGGACTTGAATACAGTCCAGTACAGGATGCAGATATCGAAAAAGTCATCTTAGGTGCTACATCATAATTTTTTACCATTAGCAGCCTTCTCAAATTGATTTTTTTTCTTAAGGTTTATTTATTTATTTGAAAGGGAGGGTTACAGAGAGAGAGCTTCCATATGCTGGTTCATACTCCAGATGTCAACAATAACTAGAGCTGGGCCAGGCCAAAGCTAGGAGCTTCTTCCAAGTCTCCCACGTGGGTACAAGCGCCCTGGAACTTGGGCCATCTTCTGGTACTTTCTCAGGTGCATTAGCAGGGTACTGGATCAGAAGTGGAGCAGCCAGGACTCTGACTGGGACCCATGTGGAATATTGGTACTACAGGCAGTGGCTTTACCCACTGCACCACGACACCAGCCCCTGATGTGAGTTTTGACAAAACCCTAGCAATCTTTGATAATTTCCTTGCTCTCTGGTCAAGATGCTCCAGGTGAAAATTTACTGCCTCTGACATAGGATCAATGGTCTCTCTAAAGAACCATGTGTTGTAACATAGTAGGTAAAGCTGCCACCTGTGATGCTGGCACCCCATATGGGCACTGGTTTAAATCCCAGATGCTCCACTTAAGATCCAGCTCCCTGCTAATGTGCCTGGGGAAAGCAGTGGAAGACAGTTCAGGTACTTGAGACCTGGAAGCTCCTGGCTTTGGCTCAGCCCAACTCCAGCCATTGCAGCCATCTGGGGAGTGAGTGAGCCAGCAGGTGGAAGATCTCGCTGTTAACTTTCTTGCTTGCTCTGTCCCTCTTTCTGTAACTCTTTCAAATAAATAAATCTTAAAAAAAAAAAAAAACTATGTTTTGTTTGTTTTTTTGTTTGTTTGTTTGTTTTGACAGGCAGAGTGGACAGTGAGAGAGAGAGACAGAGAGAAAGGTCTTCCTTTGCCGTTGGTTCACCCTCCAATGACCGCCGCGGCTGGTGTGCTGTGGCCGGCACACCACGCTGATCCGATGGCAGGAGCCAGGTACTTCTCCTGGTCTCCCATGGGGTACAGGGCCCAAGGACTTTGGGTCATCCTCCACTGTACTCCCTGGCCACAGCAGAGAGCTGACCTGGAAGAGGGGCAACCGGGACAGAATCTGGCGCCCCGACCGGGACTAGAACCCGGTGTGCCAGTGCCGCAAGGCGGAGGATTAGCCTGGTGAGCCACGGCACTGACTCACTATGGTTCTTTTTACTGGGAAAAGATGCTGGGGATATTCATTGCTGAAAATTAATTGCATTATCAGTTTATAATGTTTAATTAAAATTTTTAAATTATGAATTCAAGTTGCAACTTTTTCTCCAAATTTTAACTTTTATAATTAATGGTATGGGCACTTAGCAGATCAAAATTTAATGAAACATTTATCCTTTGGCATATTTCACTGCCTGTGTTGTGTATAGTATGTGGTAAGTTTATCACGGGACTGAATCTCCATAGACATGTGTTGGGAAATGCATGTAACAAGTATATGACCTGAAAGGCATTTCCCAGTCTAATCTTCATCTTCCTGTCATTCCTCCAGCCATGTCAGACTGTGTACCAAATTTGTGTCACTGTTAATTTGAGCAAGCATAAATTGGCAATAGGTACTCATCATATTTTATTTTTGTCTTCTGTTGTCCATTTAACTTAATTCAAAGTTAAAGGTCTCTCTCCTCTTCTGGCCTACTGCAGGCTTGCAGTGGAAGGGTAAGGTTTGATTTGCTTCCTTTTTCTTTCTGTCTTCCCACACTTTGCACTTTTTTTTCTCCTCTCTATTTTTTGAGTCTGGTTTCTGTCGTAATTGGTTTAGGAGAGGCAGAGGTTAAAGAAGAAAGGGTCTTTTAGTGGTGATAGCAGTACCAATAGCACCATTAATTAAGTTGCTAGTTACCCTTTGAAGCACTTAATATATCTTGAGTCCCTTAACCCCGGAACTCTATGAGGTAGGTTGTTGTGTCCCTATTTTACTGAGTAAGAAACTAGAATACAGGTGGTTAAGTGATTTGCCTCAGATCACATAGCTATAAATGGTAGAACCAATATGCAAATCCAGCATTGTGGCTGCAGGGTCAGTGCTCTCAACTACTCCAGTGTAGCTTTTGTGTACTGCTGGAAGTTAGAGTGCTTCCTGGTCCTGGCCAGGTGTTTAAGTCAGACTCATCAGAGTTCTTTCTGGCGTGACACATTTTTCATAGACCTGAGACAAAAGGCAAATATGCTGCTGCTTTGCAGGGCTGTAGGAGGGAGTGGAGTAGGAACCTGTAACACTGATTATGCTCAGTCAAAATCCTTTTTGAATGTTGTGAATGTTCAAAGTTGTTGAAGATGGATATAACACAAGATTGGAAAATAGTTTTCCACTACCTCCTTTCATTGGTGGTCTTGTACCTCACTTGGGAATGTAGTACAAATTTGGAGCCCCCGTGAAAATTGAGTTGGAACTGGTTTAACATCTCGTTGTACATGTTCTCCAAACAGGATGATTTCTTGCTTTCATACCTTTGTTGGTGCATATGGTCCCTGGACTGTGGCTGTATCAATTTCTCTGAAGGCATGTTTCCTCCCTCAGCCACAGGACCCCAGTCAAAATAAGCACTCATCATGGCCTGACTTTGAAAAGCAGATGCCAGTTTCCTAGGTTGCAGCAAATTAACAAAACATTTTATATATAGCCCTCCCATTTCCTTCTTCCTCTCATTCCTGTGAGAGAAATCAGTAAATATGTGTTAATGATGATTTGCTTAGACCAGTTTTAGCTGCACGGTGTTTCATGGTGAATACATGTCTTCAGGAAGGGCATGTGGAGCAGGTTTATATTTGAATTGCTTTTGCTGATTATGGTCAAGATAGTTCAGTGAACTTATATCTGGCCGCCTTGGTACAGGGATTTTTTTTTTTTAATGTCTTTTATCCTTAAAGTTGTGATATCAGATAGGAACCAGTCCTAGATTTTTCATTTTGTCTTCTCAGAATATTCGGTTACCTTTTTTTTTTATTATTCATCTTGAAATCTTTAGGGTGTTTTTTTCTTTTCTCCATACATTCTCCCTTGCATAGAACATTCAGAGGGATGATTATGTAATGGATTGTTTTAATGTGTGAACTGGCATTGCCCATTGCATGCTCACATTTAGAGAAAGAAGTAGCAACGTACCTACTAACAGATAATCATGAAAATCAACAAGTTCAGATGTGAAGCATTTAGAATAGTCTCTGATGCATGGAAAGCACTCTGTAATTGTCATTATTTATAAACTGTTATTTAAAACTGCAGCTCATTAAAACACTAGTTCACTGATTCTACAGATTGGACAGTTTCAGAGGATAGGTGGGGGATATAGTTTAATATATTTCTTAATTTGAAATTTCTCTTTCACTACTTAGCTTTTTTGTTCAGCTCAGTGGCCACATGAAAAAATGTAAAATCGCCTTCTATTCCAGCTACTAAACTGCCAATTAATGCTTTATTTTATGTATTTTTTAGGACATTTCTGATTCATTTGCATCCTTGAAGAGCATCTGTAGAAGAGGAAGGAAAAGATGGGTGTGAAAACATTTACTCATAGTTCCTCTTCCCACAGCCAGGAAATGCTTGGAAAGCTAAATATGCTGCGAAATGATGGACATTTTTGTGATATCACTATTCGTGTCCAGGACAAAATCTTCCGGGCACATAAGGTGGTACTAGCAGCTTGCAGTGATTTCTTTCGCACCAAACTTGTAGGCCAAGCAGAGGATGAGAACAAGAATGTGTTGGATCTGCATCATGTCACGGTGACTGGCTTTATACCCCTTTTAGAATACGCTTATACAGCCACTCTGTCAATTAACACAGAAAATATTATTGATGTTTTAGCTGCAGCAAGCTATATGCAAATGTTTAGTGTTGCTAGTACCTGTTCGGAATTCATGAAATCAAGCATTTTATGGAATACACCCAATAGCCAACCAGAAAAGGGCCTAGATGCTGGACAAGAAAATAATTCTAACTGCAATTTTACTTCTCGAGATGGAAGCATTTCTCCAGTGTCTTCAGAGTGCAGTGTGGTAGAACGAACCATTCCTGTCTGCCGAGAATCCCGGAGAAAGCGCAAAAGCTATATTGTTATGTCTCCTGAAAGCCCTGTAAAGTGTAGCACACAAACAAGTTCACCCCAGGTGTTGAATTCTACAGCTTCCTACTCAGAAAATAGAAGTCAACCAGTTGACTCTTCTTTAGCTTTTCCCTGGACTTTTCCTTTTGGAATTGATCGAAGGATTCAGCCTGAGAAGGTTAAGCAGGCAGAAAATACCCGGACTTTAGAATTACCTGGCCCATCTGAGGCAGGTAGAAGAATGACTGATTATGTGACTTGTGAGAGCACAAAAACTGCCTTGCCTTTGGGTACTGAAGAAGATGTCCGGGTCAAAGTAGAAAGGTTGAGTGATGAGGAGGTTCATGAGGAAGTGTCCCAGCCTGTCAGTGCGTCTCAGAGTTCCCTGAGTGATCAGCAGACAGTGCCAGGAAGTGAACAAGTCCAAGAGGACCTTCTGATTAGCCCACAGTCTTCCTCCATAGGTACAATGTCTTCTGTATTTTTCCATGGTACTGTAAAGTCAACTCAGAAGTTTTTAAGTTCTTATTAGATACAACATTTTGTGCTCAGTTCTTACAGGAAATACAAAGAAGAATAAAACATAGTAACTGGATTTTTTAAAGATGCTGTTGGCAGTATGGTTTTTTTTTTTTTTAACAAATTATGCATTGGGGAAGAAAGAAATAGTTGAACAGTATCTGATGGTACAAAGGCAGAGATACAAATTACAAATGACTATGAAAGCCAAAAAAAAAAGATCCAGTTAGTGTTTTATTCTTCATTAAAATATTTATTGAAAACTTACCTTGTGCCATAATATTGGTGATACATTAGTTCCTGAAACAAAAGAATTAATAGTCTAGTTGGAAAAGCAGATGTATAAATAAATGATTACAGTGAACTCTTACAAGTGCTTAGGTTGAGGTATGAACAAAGCATTAGAATGCAACAAAGGAGCTGAGTTTCACACAATAAGTATGTTGCCCAAATGAAGGAATGATATTTCTATGAAGTTTTATAAACGCACAGGGCATGGCATACATGCAAACCCAAAAGTGTAGAGGACATTTTATGCTTGGTAAGCAATGAATCTGATGGAAAATGATGTACATGGAGCGCGATGCCTGCAAGCTTGGGGAGTAGTGAATGGGAGAGAAGACATTAAGGAGTGGCTCAGGTTGGGGAGGTCCTTTGGCACTAGTTTAAATTAGAGTTGCATACAAGTATGACAATCCCATCTACAATGGCTTTACCTAATATTTTATTTTTACTACATAAAATGTTGAGAAATAGGAGGTCCAAAGCTGATAATCTGCTGTCTGTAATTTTTAAGTTTCATCCATATGTTAAGTGTACTTCTTGGTTACAAGATGCTCCTTTTATCTAACTTTTCTTTCTAGAAAGGGACAGTGTTTGTATCAGGAAGGCACACACAGCATTCCAGATGCTTCCTCAACTCATGTTTAAACCCCAAAGTTATTAGTTAATTGAACTAAAGGGAGTGGAGACTGAATCCAGATATGGTGTCTGAGAGTTGGCCTCTGAAAAAGGGTTGGATTGGATTAGGTTGCTAGGGTGGAGCCCCATGATTTAATCATGGTGGCTTTCTGAGTAAAGACCCACAAAGACATAAGATAAGTGTTTCCTGTCTCTGCTTCCTGGCTTGCCATGTGATCCTTCTACTTGATCTGCCATCCACCACCCTCATGAGACTCTAGACCAGTGGAGCTGCCTGATCTTGGACTGTGAGCCTCCAAAACTGTGAGCCAAAATAGACCTGCCTTCAGAGGTAACTTCTCTCAGATACATGTTGACAATGATGAAAAGCTGGCCAGTACACCAGAAGTCCCTAAATAATTTCTGCCAGTCTATGTCATGTGATCTTTCCTAGCTACAAGGGAATCTAAAAAGATAAATGTATATTAGTTGGGTACATAACTGCCTGAAACAAAATTGGAACGGAATGAATATTGATTATTTAACTAGCACTGTCTGCCACATACATGTGGCCAAGTATCCAAGGTAGGTCTGCCTTAGAGGAAATAAAAATAAAACATACAGGTACTTAAAGAAAATTAGTTTGGTATGATATGCAGGGGGATTATCTGTGCAGAGACAGGCTTAAAAACTAGTTACAATACAATTATTGTGAATGAAGAGTAAAACTAAGGAAAATGATACTTCAGGACTTTTTAAAGGAGAAACAATACTGTTTGAAGTATTGAGTATAGAGGAGTCTTCAGAAAGTTCATGGAAAATGTTAACTCTATAAAGTCTGGTAATACATTGAGAGAACAGGAAGGGTCAAAGTACTCTGGATGACGAGGAAGTAGTGATAACATTTTACTGTATTTATTGGTGCTAAGGCACAGTTTTTCATATTTTATCATCCCTGAATCCAGATCTGTCTTACAGGTGGTACTGTTTCAGCTTTTTCTTTCTTAGTGGTATGAAAAAACAGCGATCATAATTGATGATATATTAGTGTCTATAATGCCGTAACTGCAATATGAAAATCAGTGTAAGGTAGTAGGAACCTCCACTTTTAAGAGTAAATCAACAGGGTCAATTCTGTATAAATTGTGCTTGAGTGGTAACCAAGCAATATCATGTCAAAGTATTTGAAAAATGAGGAATAGTAAATAAATAGTTTGGTACTTTTCTTTTAGTAGTGTCAGATTTAGTGTCAATAGAAAAATATGTAAGAGCCTAAAAGAAAGGACTATTCTTTGGAAAATACCTGTAGTTGGGATTGGGAAGGGATAGAAGAAGAGTCAACAATAGATGATAAAGAGGATCTCTTCAGAAGACCAGGGAACCAGAAGACCATCTTAACTTTGTTGATATATTCTGTCAGCCCCACTGTGAAAGTTTTCCAGGGCTGTTGCAACAAAGAATCACAAATTGGATTGTTAAAAACAACAAAAATTGATCCTCTCACAGTTGAGGAAGCCAGAAGCCCAGAGTCAAAGTGTCAGTCAGCAAGACTGTTCCCTTTGGAGATTGTAGGGAAGGATCCTTCCTTGGCTCTTCACCTCTGGCAGATGCCAATAATCCTTGACATTCCTTGGATTATAGCTGCATAACAATTTCTACTTTTGTCTTCACATGACCACCTCTGTGTGTCTGTCTTGTCTCTGGCTGTAAATCTTGCTCCGTATAAGGGCATTAATCACTGGTTTTAGGACCCACCCAAATCCGGTATGACCTCATGTTAACTTGATTACATCTGCAAAGGCCCTATTTCTAAATAAGGTCATCTTCATAAGAAGTTGGGGTTAAGACATGAATGTACCGTTTGGAGGGACACAGTTCTACCCATAATACCCACTAATGGTTCTATTCCTAAATTGAGATCAGGCTACTTTAAAAGAATGTAAGTGAACACCCTTCTGATAAAATATTTAATGACAGGAGATCATTGCATTTGTTGTTATGATCCAAGTTTTTGATCGCTTATTTGAGAACTTAGAAAGCCAAATATTAATCAAACTAAATATCTCACCACTCAAATTTTGCCTTTATAATCTTATTACATGGTTGTATAAAAACTAATGAACATAAATGGAATAACCTTTAATATAAGTAGAATTTTTCTATCAATATAATATTACTACAAATGTGGATTCTGTTATAAGGCAGACATAGTTATATCTCCATTAGGAATATCATCTAATGAAATAATCTAGATAGAATTTTCTTCCTTGCCTTCGTAGCAAATCTACAAAGGTAGCTCCAACAAATTTTTGAAGACATTAAAGATTGTGCACTTTTTCCTTGAACTTTTTGAAGACCTCATACTAACCACTCTCAAACCTGTCTTAATTCTTAGTTTATACACTGAAACAAAGTCATACAAGAAAAAAATTAATTCCTTGGGTATTAATAGTAGGCAGTCAATAAATGTAGAAGAAAAAAAGGGAGCTATACATGGTACCTTTTTTCCGTATTCCTTAAGAATACTTCTATAAGAGTTTACTTGAGTCTTACTACACAAAAGATGAGGCCATCAATTTTTGATGAAGTTTAAGAACAAATTGTCTGGGACCAGTGCTGTGGTATAGTAGGTAAAGCTGGTACCTCTGACCAAGCATTCCATATGGGCACTGGTTCACATCCTGGCTGCTCCACTTAAAATGCAGCTCCCTGCTAATGTGCCTGGGAAAGCAGAGGAAGATGGCCCAAGAGCTGGGGCCCATGCGCCCATGTAAGAGACCCAGAAGAAACTCCTGGTTCCGGGCTTTAGATCTGCCCAGCTCTGGCTAGCTGTTGCTGCCATTTGAGGAGTGAACTAGTGGATGAAAGATCTCTCCCTCTCCCTGTCTAACTCTGCCTTTCAATAAATCTTAAAAAAAAATTCCAAGACAGTTTCATGATAATGACTTCATTGTCTATCTTGCCATTTTCAATTATCAGGAAATCCAGAAGACACATAAATAGTTCTAGATAATCTGCACTTTACTGCATTTGCTAAAGAATTCTAGACTCTAAAAGTCTTCTGTTATTAAAGTGATATAAAGGTTAGTTAAGATACATAATGTTTTTAGAAGATTTATTTTATTTATTTGAAAGAGCTACAGAGAGAGTTCTTCTATCTGCTAGCTTACTCCCCAAATGGCCACAACAGCCAGAGCTGAGCCCATCCGGAGCCAGGAGCTACTTCTGGGTCTCCCACCCATGTGCAGGGGCCCAAGCAGTTGGGCCATCTACTGCTTTCCTAGGCCATAGCAGAGAACTGGATCAGAAGTAAAGAACTGGGACTCAAACCAGCGCCCATATGGGTTGCCAGCACCATAGGCAGCAGCTTTAACCCAGTATGCCACAGCTCTGGTCTCAAGGTACATAATTTGAAAATTGAGTAAACTTGTTTAGGTGAGCAGCTAGAGGAATGGTTGAATTGTAACAATGATCATATGGAAAAGCAATGTAACATGATTAGAAGTTCGGGCCCAGGACTCAAACAAATCTGGGTACTGCTACTACTTTTTGGCACTTAATGTAATTTTGATCAAGTCACTTAACCTCACCAGTTTCTGTAACCATAAATGTAATAGTAATATTGAAAATATTAACTGGAAAATTCCAGAAATAAACAATTCCTAAGTTTTAAATTACACCCCTTTGGAGTACCATGATGCAATTTCCTGCTGTCCCACTCCATCCTACTTGAAAAATGAATCATCTCTTTTTCCAGCATATCCATGTTATATATGCTACCCACCCGTTAGTCACTTAGAAGCCATCTTGGTTGTCAGAGTGTCTTGTCAGATAACCATCTTGGCTGTCAGAGTGCTTGTGTTCAAGGAACTTTCTGAGGTTCAGTTAGACCATGTTCACTACTGTCATTACAGTATGTTCTAATTGTTGTACTTTATTGTTTTACTGTGCCTAATTTATAAATTAAACTTTATCATAGATATATATGTGTAGGAAAAACTGTGTAATATATATATATGGTTCAGTATTATTCATGATTTCAGGT